ACAGAATTGGAAGGGACCTTGGAGGTCATCCAGTCTAACCCCCACCCCCCAAAAGGAGACACTACCTACACCATTTCTGACAGGTGGCAGTCCAGTCTCTCCTTGAAAGCCTTCAGGGATGAAGCCCCCACAATTTTTGAACAACAGAATTGGAAGGGACCTTGGAGGTTCATCTAGTCCACCACCGCCCAAGCCGGGGACCCCACACCATTTCTGACAGAGGGCAGCCCTTTTTCTCCTTGAAAGCTTCCAGGGATGAAGCTCCCGCAACCACCCATCAGGCCCAGCCAGGTCTTCGGGCTCCCCCAAGTCGTCGGGTGGGAGCCGTCCTCACTTCCCTTCCCCCCCCCCCCATAGGTGACAGGGACCCTCTTCGTCTACGGCCTCTTCGTGGCCGAATTCCTCCAGAAGACCCCCGTGGAGAAGATGGACGAGATCCTTTACTGTGTCCAGGCCGTCAGCCGGGTGCTCGAGTTCCTGGTGGCCCTCTGCGTGGTGACCTATGGCGCCTGGGGGTCCATCGTGGGGGAGTGGACATGGCTGGGGGCCTCGGTCATCGTTATCCACTGCTACTTCAACGTCTGGCGGAGGGCCCAATCTGGCTGGCAGAGCTTCTCGCTCCGCTGGGAGGCGGCCAAGAAGATCGGCTTGCTACCCGGGGCCACCCGCAGGCAGCTGGAGGACCACAATGACGTGTGTGCCATCTGCTTCCAGGTGAGTCCTCCCCTCCCCTCACCCTGAGGTGTGGCTGGTGGCCTCCCGCCCTTCCCCATAGGGGCAAGGATGGGCTTTGTAGTGTAATGCCTCTGAAGGACAAATAGCTTGAGGATGTTTTCAACTCTGGGCAATGGGTCCTTTTTTTTCAAGGGACCACTGGATTTTTCCGGTTTTTCTCTGAAGACGTTTCACTTCTCATCCCAAGGAGCTTCTTCAGCTCTGACTGGATGGTGGGGAATGGAAGGATTTCTACTCCTTGCAGACACAGCTGGTCATTTGCATCCTTTTAGAGAGACGCTGAGGCCGCTTGGAGGTTTGTCTGTGTCCTCCGGGTCACCTGAGTGGTGCAAATGGGTGTGGAGCCTCCTTGGAACTGCTGAAAAGACGGTGTTGTAAAAAGGTTCCACACCCATTTGCACCACTTAAGTGACCCTGATGAGATAGACAAACCTCCAGGTGGCCTCAGCGTCTCTCTAAAAGGATGCAAATGACCAGCTGTCTCAACGGCTGTCAGTTGAAACCATTAGCAGCTGCTCTACATCCTCTTTTCTCCTGTGTACAACACAAGTCCTTTCAGCAGTTCCAAGAAGGCTCCACACCCATTTGCACCACTCAGGTGACCCCCCCCCCAGGACACACACAAACCTCCAAGTGGCCTCAATGACCCTCTAAAAGGATGCAAACGACCAGCTGTCTGCAAGGAGTAGAAATCCTTCCATTCCCCGCCATTCATTCAGAGCTGAAGAAGCTTCTTGGGATGAGAAGTGAAACCTCTTCAAAGAAAAAAAACAAGAAAGTCCAGTGCCCGCTTGAGAGGGGGAAAAAAACCACTTTTGACACAACCTGGATGACTTAAGAATACTCGTTCATTCATCTTCCACGGATTCTGCAGTCTCTTAAATCGACATTGAATCCCACAAATACAAATAACTTTCTTTCATACTTACGACCGTTGCAGCTTCCCCACAGTCACATGATCTAAATTCAGACGCTCGGCAACCGACTCATACTTACAACGGGCACAGCGTCCCTGTGTGTGTGTGTGTGTGTGTTTGTTTGTGTGTGTGTGTCATGCCGATCCCCTTTTGGCAACCTTCTGCCAAACTAAGTCAACGGGAAAAGCCAGATTCACTTAACAAACCGTGTGACTAACTTAACCGCCGCAGTGATTCGTTAAACGACGGTGGCCAGAAAGGTCGTAAAACGGGGCACAACTCAGTCAAGGGGTGAAGCCAGATTTCGCTTAACAATGGTTTCACTCGTTTAAACAACGGCAGGGATTCAATGAAACAGCTCTGGCAAGGAAGGATCCTAAAATGGGACGGAACTGACTTAAGGACCGTCTCGCTTAGCGACAGAAATGTTGGGCTCAATTGTGGTCATAACATGAGGACTATCTGTATCCCCTCAAGTTCACCATAGCAAGATCTTTATTCCAGATGAAATATTTGTATTTATATCCGGGGTTTTTTTTTTCCTTAGCCATATAAATTTTGCTATTCTTTATTCGAATCGTCCAAAAAAAATAAAATTAAAAATCCCCAATTTTACCGGCACCGTTTGAAATAGATATAAAAATTTGGGTAATATGCTCATTTTTATAGTTGCTATCCATCCCAATAGCGAGAGCGGTATTTTGGCCCAGTTATCCAGATCTTTTCGTATTTGCAATATTATTTTAGCGTAATTCTCTTCTTTTATGGAAGAGCATTTCGCTGTGAGCCAAACTCCTAAATACTTTACTTTTTTTTTTTTTTTGCTATCTGCATCCCTAGTTCATGTTCTAATTCTTCATTTTGAGTCTTGGTAAGATTTTTTTTTTAAGTTATTATTTGTGTCTTTTCCTTGTTAATTTTTAAGTCCCGCTACCAATTGTGGTCGCAACACAAGGACTATTTGTATCCCCTCAAGTTCACCGTAGATGAATTATTTGTCATTCTTGGATGTGGCCGAGATCCATCCTCGCCAAGCTTCGATCTACCTCTCCTCCTCACCTCCCTTTTCCTCTCTCTCTCTCTTTTTTCCCCCCCAGGAAATGACCCTCGCTGTGATCATGCCCTGCGGCCACTTCTTCCACAAAGCCTGCCTTCGCAAGTGGTTCTACGTACAGGACACCTGTCCTCTCTGCCACCAGCCGTTTCAGGTCCCGGCTGCCCAGAAAGTCCAGCGAGACGACGCTGAACCAGAAGCGACACCCCAGCCGGAGCGTGGAGAGACCGTCAGCCACCAGAACACAGCGGAGTCCCACGATGACGAGCCGCCGGACTCTGGGATGTCCAGTTGCCCAGAGCAGCCCGGCCCTTTGCCAGCGGGGTCCGCTGGGGAAGACCCCCATCGGGGTCATCCCCATCCAGGAGGGACCTCCCTCCCGGGAGAAGAAAACGACCAGCGGCCTGTGCTGGAAAAACTCGAGGCCCGGTCTGTGGGGCAGCACCCTTCCCAAAGTGACCTGAGATTACCCAGCATGCCAACGGACCCCGGTCCCCCTTGGCCCTCGGCTCCTCGGGGTGTCAAGGGGCATCGGGAGAGGCCCAGGCCGACTGACAGCCACCCTGCAGCCCCGGGCAGCGATGCCCAGACGGTGGGCGAGATGTGGGAGAAACTGGACAGTCTCAGCCACAGCCTCCCCGCATCGCTTCCTGACCCTCGGCCGACATTCGCGGGCATTTCTCCCGAGAAACCCTCCATCCCGTAACCTCCCTTCCTACTTCCCTTATCTTGTCGGTTCATCTTTTTTTTTTTTAAGGCTCAGGAAATCCATACTCCAAACACGGCAGGCTGACTTAAGCTTGGTAGCTCAGCCCTGCAGCTTCCTCATTGGTTTTTTTTTT